TTTTCCTTTGCACGGCAGTATGAATAGGCATTTTGACCACGTTGGTAAGCCCCGAGTGCAAATTTTTCCGGTAGCTGGGTGGAGTCGTTTGGCCGAGGACAAGTCGTGCGGAATGCGAAACTACGTCGAAACAGAGCACATGTTAGCATTGATGTGGCGCAAAAGTCGATCAGACGGATTCGCCATGAATTACCGAAGTTTCACCGCACGTGGTTATTTTCATGACTCAAGTAACGCCACCGAAGACGGGAAATTTCACTCATTTTTAAATCAAAAGCTTTTACGAGGAGGAATTCTTACACCTCGCTCTTCATCAATAGTTTCTGAGCCTCCTCCCTGACAGAGATAAACCAAACTGATGCGGGCCGATCATTGAAATTGATGGACAAAGCTATAGACAAAGAAGATATAAGGGATATGGAGGGATCCTATTGGCGAAAGCGTGTGGTTGCAATGGATGAAGGAGGTAGGTAATAGACTAACTGACGGCAACCTACGAGAGACCCTGTCGTTAGTTCAGCATTTTTTCCCTTAGTCCATGGGAACCACCCATTTCAACCAATAGAATTTCTCCATACTCCCTATGTCTTCTTTTTCTGTCACTTTGTCTATCAATTTCAATAATCAGACCGCTGGACTGAACGCATAGGTAGATTGTAGGAGGGGAGCATAGCCCCCCCCCCCCGTTTGCCCGATAAAAAGGAGGAAGAAAAAAGGGAGGAAAAAAAAGGAAGGATGCTCATATTTGGTAATTATTTATGACGATATTAATTCAAAATGCATATTGGATGCTACAAAAATTTGAAAATTTTCCAAGGAAGTCATACGGACGGACCCTCCTTCCACCTCCGCCCCCCACCCCCGTTCAAAGTGTCTGGGTCCGCCTATGACTCAACGAGACTTGACTTGGACTGGCTGAAAGGAGTAGGATGTATCAAAAGTAATTTCGATCAAGTCATAGAGATCCACCGGTATGGAACGGGTCGTATGCCCGGAACTCTTCCTCATATCAATTGGTTTCTTCCTAATTATGTCATCAATATTGTCTTTACATTAAGCTCAGTTACGACCAGGGATCTGTTAGTGAACTGCTTACGGGTTACCTTTCATTTAGCCACGGCTTGCGACGCTACCGAACAAAGTTCTTTCAACCTGCTACTGATTTATCCCTATACATATTATTCCATAGTACAATTTCACTTTATTGAGTGAAATTGACCCATTTGAGGAAAACTCATTATCGTACTTAACTTGCTTATCGTACTTACTCGTGCTTAACCCAGTCTAACATATCCTGACGTCACAATCTGACTTTACGTACTTTATCTACCTTACTTAACTCAAGTAATCAACTTAGATAACCTAGTAGCACTAATTTGAGTTAACTAATCCAACGTACCAACGCAGGCGTATGGCATGTAGTTTTATAATTTCAATAGCATCATGGGATGCCCAAAGAGATGAGGGGTCAACTGATTTTTTTTTTTTTTTTTTTTTTTTTTTTTTTTTTGGACGGCTCTACGCGCGGGTCGTCACTGAGTGAGTAGTTGCCCTATTTATGGTAAAATAAACATGGAAATAAAATGGCAATGGCTACTTTCTTCATTAATGCAAGTAATTCAATCTGACCCTGAGTTGATGACCTTTGCAGCCTACTTGCTTGATGAGCCCAGTGCAAGTTGAAAGTCCGCGGGCGACAAGTCAATTTGCTCAAATTTGCATTGAGAAGCAGCGTTGGCTGGCCGATCGGGTAAAATGATCAAAGGCATGTCTGGCCATCAAAAGAAGCAAAGTTGCAAAATTGAAGGAATTTCGTTGAATCCTTTGTGATAATCGATTTAAAATTGACCAATCTCACTGCGTGTTTCAAACGCTTCACACTCACGCAGAGGCAAGGTTCCAAGCCGGAAGAATTACGTCGGCAGGTGACGATAAAAAAACACCCTTGTGATTTTTTTTCTTCGGTAGATTAACTCTTAATTTATGTTTGTAGAGCGAGGATGTTTATTTTAGCCGAGAGATGTCATATTTGGAAGCAGTGAACTTCAGTTATTATTGGAAAAGACGATGTATACAATTTTGCGACTTTTTTTTCTGTCAAGAGAGACAGGCAATGGATGTTCACAAAATGGTCAATGAGTGACTCAGAGCAAATGAAATTTACGTCAAAGAGACAGCTCCTCCCCCTCCCCCACTTTATTAAGGCATACTCGTACAAAAGTGTTGAAAGCATGAAAGTATAAATAATGACCTACAGTTATCTGCTAGATTGATGTTAAATTAACATTGCCCACATCCTTAAAACTAGGCTCTCTTAAACTATGTTCGTAACATAATCAATCAAACTGAAGGAAACACATTAGACTTTTTCAGGTTATATGACTGTAAAAACTTTTCAACTAACTGATATTTTACGGTGATTTATATCCCGGTGACATATTAATGGCAAACCGGACTCAATAAAATGACTTGACAGAACTAGTTCAGAGTCACGAAGTCTTCGATTTGTTTTTACTCTATAATTGATTCTTAGAGTGTTACATCATCTGCCAGGAAGAAAACCCATACTGTATGCAATTTTTCCCAAAAGCAGATCACAAAATGGTGCTATGTGTTGCACATGATAAAACTCTGTGATAAGGTTTAGAACGAGACAATTAAAATAAATGGAAATAATAATTGCAACGATTGACTTGTAGCAAGTCTACCTAAAACAGAAACCACACGACATTCAACTGGATTGCGTTTCGCAAAAAGAAACCCAGAGTATTCCGATGTCACCAAGATTGTGTAACTTTTTTACATTGCAAATGTAAACTGATCATCTAATACAAGTGTTACCTTTATTCCCAAAAAACTGTAAATTTAATTTTTTGCATGATTTTAGTAATTTTATTGCAAAGAATGTAAGTTGTACAATCCCAGCAACATTGGAATGCTCTTGGTTCCTTTTTGCAAAATGCAAACCAACTCATCTGCATGACATGTATATATGAGTAGGATACAACTATTGCTCCCTCTAATTCTTTCATTTTGAAGAGAGCATTGCGTTAGGTATACGCGGTATAAACGTAATTGCGATAATATCCATCCGTTTGAAATTCAAAAAGAAAGAAGGAAAGAGAAAGCAAAAATGTGCACTGCACAATCCGCATGTCATATTTTAAGTTATTGCTTCCGGCGATTTATTGAGCACGTCTTTGAGTGTTCAAAAATAATTCAACGATTCGGAAAAAAACAACGCACTCTCAATTTGACTACTTTCGAGTAATTACTTCATCTGCCTATATAATGAGCATCTATTAATAGATGCGTTTTATTCCAGTACCTACAGCTTAATGGGTGCATCACTTTTGGCGAAACCGGTGCTCGTTTAAGACGTAAAAAAAGAAAAATCAGTTTTGCAATTCCTGCAGTCAATCTTGTAGACACTGGTGGGGTTACAAAGCAACTTCGATTCCTACCTCATTACTGAAAAAGATCATTTTGAAAGTAGAATATGGACGCTTTAAAAATCAAAAGAGTTTGAATGAAAGCCTCAAAAAATAACTGACTCATGATTATAATCACTTGAAATATTCAACAAGCTAATTGAATAGAAAGTATTCTTCCGGAAGTAATGTGTCTTACTTTCTATTTGTTCCTGTTGCACTTTTTTCATTAGATTTTACACTTGAAAAAAGATCCAGCCAAAGTCTCATGTGTAAGTACAGCCTGACATATATCTCACTAATAAATAGCGAAGTTTTTTTGGATCAGATTAAAAATACTTATAGTCAGCTTGATTGGGGTCTTGACGTCCCTAACCCCTCCACTCTCTATGAACAAAACAACTCCTACGGGAATCTGACCTTTATTTAGCAGGTTCGTTATTGCAAGTTTTGACACATTCATGAATTTTAAGAAAAGACGAATCCTGCCACCATAAAGGAGAGGTGTAAAAACTTTAAATTTTCCAAATTTTTAATCACTATCAAGCCTCTCGTTGCTATTGTTCTAGTGAGAGAGAAAAATTCGTACACATCCCCCCCCTTTTCCTCGGATTAGCCCTCGCAGTTAACCCCTCCAGGGGATTGAACCCTCTGGAGTCTTCAATGCCAAAACAAATTAATAAACGTCTGCATAAATTTTCTTTCTTTAAAGCAGCTTTTTGTCCTTTACATATAGTCAATCCTTTTGGATGCCTAAAAACAGGTACATTTTTGTGCTCAAATTAAAAAATCACTCCCTCAACGATTTCACTTATATTTCATCTCTAATTTGCACTTTTTCATTTAGGAGCCCTTCTAGTATTCACGGAAATAAGGAGGTTGAATTCTGAATTGGACATTCCTAATTAATTGTGGTAGTATCCCAATGATTTAAGCTACTAACCCACGCTCTGTGATACTACCCTAACTTGAGTTGCGGTAAGACAAACATTAATTGAAAATTTCCGAATCATCCCACAAATTGGAATAGCACCACAATTTAAGAGAAAACCCCTAACACTTTCTTTCCGTGTTTTTGAAGAATGGTTCCCTGATTTTTCTAATTTCAGGATTTTCTGTAAGGCAAATCGGATATCCGTGAAAACCTGTTTAGCATTATTTACAAAAATGGCGTATGACTTTTGCAGTGCTGCTCAATTTGTACAATTTCATGTATAATTCGCAGCAAACTAAACAAACGCACGTGGTAACAAGTTTCACGAAAAAAAATGATTTAAACTACTGTAGATTTTTGGATAAATACTCCAGCAGGAACATCAGATTGCTTAGTTGTGACTCATGCACAGAATTTTACAATAATCTAAGCAGCATTGAACATCTGATACGTCGTTTCTACACAAAATAGTATGTTCAGAATTGAACACACAGCCGTAAGGAATACTTTCAGCGACAGTGTAGTAACGTATGAATACCAAGAAAATCCGATACGCAGTTCTACGTAACTTTCTTGCGAAGGTAAGTTGTAAGCGGAAGCAGAGAAAGAGCGAGATGTGGAGTACGATTACTTACTGGTAAAACTAGGTGAATCCGTAACGTAAACATTGTGGGTGGACGACAAACGTGTGGACAGACGAACCGGCGAGCGAGGAAAGACCGTGCCATCGTAACGCACGCCGAGCTCGGTTCATCTGGCCGCTCAAATGTCAGGGTCAGGGGTGGGGGCAGGGGAGGGAACACCGCGCTGGCAGCTTGCGGAGCGCTGGCTCCTGCGCTAAGTCAAAGCTCAGTCTCGTTGGCAAAGTCGAATTTCACGTGGTTCATGCACAAAAATGTATTGCCTCTACGAGGCAATGGAGTAAAATTTCCCAATCAATTGAAAACTTTGAAGTTCTATACACATGAAATATTCCAGTGCTGTTCTTGGAATCGAAGTTTCCAGTTCAAGAAACCGAACTTCGGTTAATATAACTGAAGTTCAAATCGTTTCATCGGTAATTTCTATTGACGAGGCGTGAATGATCGAATATGATCCATGAAATGAAGGGAGATTCTGCTGTTTGAAAAACAGAATGGATGACTTCGGCTGCACTTTTTCGAGAGGCATCATCACAGCCATTCTGGGCGTTAAAGCTCAGTTTTTGAACATATTTTCAAAGTCACGTTTCCGCGTATCCAGTCTCCGAGGCTATAACTCGTTCAGAGACTTAAACGCGTGGTTAGAAAAGCAAGCCAACTTTTCAGGTCCCAGTTTTTATGTTATGAGGAGCGTTCATAGATTAAGTAAAGCTCTAGGGGGGAGAAGGGATATGAGCCTGCATTACGCTGCGTTATGAGGGGGGTGAGAGAGTCAGCATCAGCGTCACGTAACCCTCTCTACTCGTCAAAACACCCAGAATCCAAAATCTACCATCCTCATTCCTTCGACGTTATTTGTCATACCATGATTAAAACTACTTTGTATTTTATCCAGCTATAAATTCAACAGTTATCCATAATTTTTGGGAGCTTAAGGGGATAGGCTCCATCCTTATCGTCTCAACAGGTCTTACTAACTCTCGCATAAATATGAGAAATAGCTAGCAACGCACTCCCCCCTCCCCTTACAAGCATTACGTAATTATGAATGCGCCTAAGGAAGGTTTGGCAAACTTTTTAAAAATCAAGTCGTCTCGGGAGCAAGTTTGAGCTGTTCTCGCCGAAAAAATTGATCCAATTACAATTTCAAATACGGAAGATATGCCACACAGTAACTTACCAAAATTTCTCTCATATCTTTCTGTCATTAATTTAGTTGACAATGAATTCCGGCGTTGACCCGATTTTATGTAGGTTTAACACATTTTACGAGGCACTCATCATGGGAATGAAAATATTGTACAAACGTTTTAAAAGAGTTGACTCTTTACGGAATCGAAATAAATGTGAAGTTCAAAAAATAATGAGGTCTGCACTGAGTCCTGGAGATATTTTAATATCAACTGGAGTTAAAATCTCTTCCTTTCCGCACTATATCGACAACAATTTTTCAATCACACACGTGGATTAAGAATTTAGTTTTCATAGTGATGTTGAGTTTATCCCTTTACGGAAGAAAAACTGATCAGTATCTCTATGAACTTTCTAAAATCGAGGTGAACCTCACATTTTTTATTGCATTTTGCAATTACAATTTTGCATGAGCAGAAGAGACATTTCTTTATTTATTAAGTCATTGACGTCTTTTGTGTTTCATAATTAAAATTAATCCTTTGGGACCAAAGGATTTCCAAAGACAACAAGAAGAGGATTTATAACTCGGTTGTCAAGCCTATTATCACCTATGGCAGTGAAGTGTGGCAGTTGAAGAAGCGGACCCAAGAAATGCTCAAGGCGACCGAGATGGATTTCTGGCGAAGATCGGCTGGAATCTCGAGGAGAGAACGTGTCAGGAATGAACGTGTCCGAGAGATAATGGGCGTTGAGGGGACGATTGTGCACGATATCATGACCAAGCAATTGGTATGGTATGGGCATGTGCAGAGAATGGCTGATACCAGGTTGCCGAAGAAGGTGTTGGAGTGGGTCCCCCCAGGTAGGCGACGGAGAGGGCGTCCAGCCAAACGGTGGGTAGAGGGCATCCATGAAGAGATGGAGAAATGCCACCTTCCGGAGGATCTCTACCATGACAGATTCCTGTGGAGAATAGGCGTCGCAGAGCGCCCTAGCGCGCCGTAAAAGCGGCTCATACATACATACATTAAGTCATTGACGTCTTTTGTGTTTCATAATTAAAATTAATTAATATCGCAGTCTCTCTTAATTTCACTTATTAATTAAATACGAATGGCATCCATTTCATTTTTGCAATTATTATACGTTATATTGATTCGTTTCCTTTAAATAATATTATAAAAATCAATCAAATAAATGCATCAAATTGATTTGATGCATTTATTTGATTCACATACAAAGGTTACATCTCTTTGTTGGTGTAATGAAACTTGACGGTAATGTCTAAAACTCCAGCGACGCAAAAAATTAGTCTACTGTATGTCAATTCGCATCATTCGAATTGAAGGCGTTTTATCCTCGACAGACCATTCAGTAGCATTCCACCGATAATATTAGCGTCATTAATCTTTTGTCAACAGCCTTTAATTTTTTTGCACGAACTTAATATCAGGCTGCTGTCAATTTGTATGTAATTTGATCATGAGAGTGATTTAACTGTGCAAGCAAATATTAATTTGCAGCATCTTGTGTTGGAGCATCTTGTTTTAATCGAAATTTGAGGTCAAGAACAATATCAATGCGATTTATGAATTACTTTTTTCTCACTCTTTCTCTCTTCCTTTCTTTCTCTCTACTTCTGTTTCTTTCTTTCCTTCTTGCTTTCTCCCGGAAAACTAATTAAAAGCGATGAATTTACAAGGTCATAAATATTTATAAATTGGAACTCGCGCAAATCTGTGTAAAATCAAGGATTCCTTTTTTTTGTGAAACGACCGTCGCTGAAAGCTCCTATTCATAAGCATTTTACAAACTGAGGCGAGAACATTGAATTTATAACCACACTGGAAAAAAGTGACTTGTTTTAAGCAAAGCTAAATTTTATTCTTTATTTTATTTTTATTTTATTCTTACATTTTTCTCAAGGAATGATTTTCCTCTCAATTCAAGCACAGGAGATGCTTACATCAATAGGAAAATCACTTTTATCACGCAGACATCTGCTCGAATTAGGCGCTTTTACTCTTGTTTTAGGAGAAAATCTTCTTGGTCGCAAATTCAAGTAGCTATGTCTTTCAATGGCAAGCGATAAACAACTATGAACAGTAGCAAGACGAACATGCAACAAGCACCAATTACAGCTGCCCATAATTAACTTTGAGCAAAATCTGATTGTTCATTGGAGCGGAGTACGCATCTCCGAAGCGCATTATCTCAATTGATTCAGCGTCGGCCGCTCGGAATCAATTCCGGTATGAAAAGGTGAAGTCCTGTAGGGCTGAAATGCACTGGTCATCACTCTGAGTCGTTATTAAATCAGTCCAAAGTTATTCTTTTCCTCGCCGTCGGTCCTGGTTTTTAATTAGCCCCTCGCCGTCAAAATAATCGGATTCAGAAGCGTAAGGACGTAATATGTCAGTTGAATGAACTTTGGCCACCGAGCACTGCTGCCGAATGGCCAGTCGCCAATAGTTAATATTAGCTTTTTTTCATAAAAATCATTGTTGAGCATTGAGTTATTTGATTCGTTTGATGAGGTGAATAATATAGACTAAGATATAATACTAAGATTTTAGTATTTAGATTACTGTCACGCAATGTTATTTGATCAATGAGAACTCATCGAGGATACATGAAGATTGAAATTCGGATTTCTAAATGCGAAGTTTACGTGCCGAAAGCAGAGCTCGCATACTGGGAATCATCGGTGCGTTGTTAAGTGGTTTTCTGAATTTCGTGGAAGTCACGCAGTTCCTATCAGTTGATAAAAATTGGGTTCTCGGTAAAAAGAAGTTTGTTTGATATGGTTGGATAAATGTATGGTACAAATTTTTATATAAAAACATAAAAAAAGCAAAACAAATAAGAAAAAACCTCAAAGGAGCAGTATTGATAAGGGCCTTTTTTGAACCCACCCTGGATTTCCTCAACTCTACGATTTGATGCTGACTGAAGGTCTACATTTTACGGTATGCATCATAATTCGAACGAATTTATGCAAGAATGAACTGAAATGCACGCAAACTCTTTTTTTATTGCTCCCTCTAACATAAATATGCCCATTTGGTCATTTTTGGTCACTTTTTAGGTCAATTTTTTACTGGCCTAAAGGTGGGTCTAAGGGTCAATTCTGGCGGAATATGCGTATATTGCAGCATTCTATCGCAAAACTCGCATTTTTCGCCAAAATTGGCCGTCAGACCCGTGTTTCGGCCAACATTGGACCAAAAAAGAGACTCAATACAATACGACTAAATCATGATGTACTCCGATAAGTATATCGCCCTACGAGCAAAAGATCCTTAAGTTTGGGAAATTCAGTTAGATTGGGCCCGCAAACGGTCAGTTTCGATACCCCTCATCAACAATATTATAACAGCTAAACAACAATTGAATACCTTTATTTCCTGGGTCAGAATTTGGCATGGACCGCGTTTAGCAGCAAGGAAACAAGCCACATTAGCTATTGCCAAATTTTACTGGGCAAGTAAGTTAATGTTATACACGGGAACGTTCGCGCGGACTCCTTTAAAAATAATAAGGAATTGGCTTCGCACCTTGCAAAAAATTAACTAAAATTTGAAAACAAATTCGCACAACCGTTTTCATGTAAAATTAAACTACCCAATCAAATATGGCCATAGCTGATGTTGCTTGGTTCCTTTTCTACTTAGCGCGGTTCCATTGGTCCTGTTTTGCTGAAAACCGCACGCGGTTATAACATCACACGCTCACCATGGGTAAGTCCTCCGATTGATTTACAAAACCACCCGATGCCATCCGCGGAAGCCCGGTGGCATGGTCGGATGCGGCGCACAGTGGAACGAACTGATCAGACGGGAAATTTCTGACTGAAATTTCAATTTCTGATGTTTGTATGGACACAAATTCAAATTCAAGGGGTGTTTCTGACAGGAATTTTCACGGAAAAGCCAATAAAACCACTTGTGAACGCTCTTGTTTCATATTTCCAAAAATATAAGCTTCCAAAG